CCAAAAAAAAAAAAAAAAAAACAAATGTCAAGGGGGGAATGCAGGAGAGAAGTAAAACAAAAGACAAAAGCATAAACATCTAAATAAATTACTCATGTGCATTATAATAGTAATTAATTTCAGCAGACTTATCCCTCCCTCCCTCCCTTTATTCCATCCTTCTTACTTTCCTTATCCTCATTCATTCAGCCATTCATTTAATAAACTTAAAGGACATGATTCACAATAATAAGCAAAATTTTAGAAGTGGAGTAAAAATACTCGTTTAAAATTTGCCCCCTTTGCAGGCAGAGGTTGGCTACTAGCTCACTTGACAGGAAGGGCCAGTGGTGCAGTATAAAGATCACTGATTGAAGAGATAAAGTCCCATCAGAGTCCCTGCCCACTGTCATCTCGTGAGCCTGCGAACTTGGACCTTGGTGTCCTCACCTAAAAATGAGAGTGTTAGGAGAAATCTCTTATTCTCTAAGCTTCAGCTAGTTGGAGTGTAATAAATGAGTTGAAGCAATCTGTAAAATGAACACTTACAGCTACCTTATCTCTTTTACAGAGTTGCTGAGCAGGTCAAATTAGTTAATACAAATGAAAATGTTTTGTTGAGCCATAAAGTAATGTAATTGGAAGGTAGACTAATAACCTCTTTAAAAAATTCAGACTAAACTAAAATTATTATTTTAGGCTCATATAACATAGAAAGCAAAAGTAGACATTGAATTCAGACTTCAAACTCTTTCTTGAAAAAGATCAAGTTTAAATACAATAGGTAGAAATTACACCCCACTTAACCTCATCATGAAACCAAACTCTATCTGTTTAGACCAGCACTACACAAATTTAACTACTTATCAGGATGTATATAAATATCAAATACACTCTGAAATTTCCTGTACACCCAGCATAGTGCTTCCCTTGCTTCCAGCAAGTTCAGCTCTTAGGATAGTTTATTTAACATAATAAAAATGTTATTTGTTATGTTCCACACACTGAGGATACGGTGGTCTCTGCTCTCTAGGTGCTCACGTTGCATTCTAACATGAGGGAACTGGCCGATACAGAAATAAATAAATACATAAACAAGAACGTATCAGAGAATGAAAATTGTTATAAAGAAAATAAAATGGGAGTAATGCGGTGGGGAGTAACTTAGGTCGGGAGCGATTACTCGGGATAGGTGGCCAAGGAAGGTCTCTCTGGAGAGTGGACTTCTAATATGATCCCCGAGAGCAGTACCCGCTACGTGATTTGCAGGGCCCAGTGCAAAACGAAAATGTGAGACCCGTGTTAAAAAAAATCATTAAGATTTCAAGATGGCAAGAGCAGAGCGTTAAAGCAAGTGGAGCCGTTCCCAGTGCAGGCGCGGCTGGCACGTGCATGAAGCTGGCGCAGCCTGAAAGACAAGCAGCGGGGCCTCTTCCAGGATCTGAGCAGGAGCGTTCCTGCAGACGGAAGGGAAGGGCGAGGCTGGGAACAGACTGGCGACTTTAAGGAACAGAAAA